GAGATGGACGGACTGACAGTCGGCCGACTACGAGTCGGGCGACTGAAGGTCGACAAGCGGAAGGAAGGCCAACTTAACGGCGCGTTGAACCGGACAGCAGGCCGGAAGCAGAAGGGAGTTTGGCTGACGAGCCAACAACCCTCAGAAGGTCGTCTTCGGCGGAAGGCACTTCTGGGAAAACGCCACCAGCAAGCAGGCCAAGTGGAGTGAAAACGCGCAGGGTGTATCCGACTCCCAGTCGGATAACTGCTGGTCGGCCGACTGCGAGTCGTCGACCGGATTCGCCGACTGCGAGACGGACAGGGCCGGCGACCAGTGTGCGGACGCCTTCGGCGGACGCACCTTCAGCGAAGACACCTTCCGCGTAGATTGCGCCGGAAGGGCAGGCAGCAGAAGCGGGCGGTGCAAGGGTGACAAGAGTCACTGCGGCGTCGACCCCTTCGGAGACCGAAGATCGAGCCGGAACAGGGGCTCAAGCAGTGAGATCCCCCACTGCCCTGGATATTTTAGCAGGCAGTGGAGCAGCAGTCGCAGCGGAAGCTGCTGCGCGCCACAGTTCCAGGGAGTCGCCAAGGGATTCGGTGGCAACTGAAATCCTCGAGACTGAGGATGAGACGAGCTCGGAAGAGCAGGAAGCGGATTCTGTGCAGAAAACGCCAACAGGGGTGTTGTGCGAGCAGATAGTCCCACTCCTGCGATATCTGGATCGCAAGACATCCAAGTACTCGGGTACTGGAAAACCGCAGTCTTATGTGGAGACTGTCAAGCGCAGGACGAGGAGCAAGGTGGCCACTTGGGCCTCTAGGTGCCACGTATATCAGGAGAGGAATACCGCCCTCCGACAACACCTGGCGGTCACACAGAAGCTATACCAAGCCTTGCAGCAGCAGAGGGAGGATGCGGCGACGAAAAGCCAGGCGGATGCCGAGCTAATGCGGGCAAAGATCGAGGCGGAATTGCAGGAAGAGCGGAGACAAAACCGCATCCTAGCAGCCGAGCTTGCGCGCCAAACGCGCGCCTTAGAAGAAAGTCAAAGAGGCCGCAAGGAGGATGAGGAGTTGTTGCGCAACTTGCAATCCGAGTGCTCGGATTTGAGGGCGCAGCGTGCGGAAGCGGAAATGCAGCTAGCAGAGGTGGAAGGCAGCTGCCGGGCGCGAGAAGAGTTGGCGAAGCGGGTGACTCATTGTCTAAAAGGATACGCCCATTGGGAGGTGGCAGCTCAAGAGAGGATCACACTCAGGGAGTTCGAGCTTCGGGCGGCGGCATTGACGGAGGGTGACAGTCGGAGTCGGCGGCGAGTAGCGAGGAAATAAGAAACCTTCTTGTCGGGTGCGCGCGACACTATGGCGCACTTAGAGTCGGAAGTCACTGCAGCCCTCCGACGCCTGGGGTTGCGCAGCCGGTCGGAAGACTGGCAAGGTAGAGACAGCAAGCGAAGCAGTCCGGCGCGCAGGAGGCGCAGCACCGGATCCGTCGAGTGCAGTAGTATAGTTTGGTTTCGCGCAGATGTTGCGAGTAGTAGATAGGATAGCGTAGTGCTAGTTAGGACCTTTGAGGGTATAAAGTAGATCAAGGCGTTTTGCTTTGGGACTCTTCCAGTTTCGGAAGTGCAGATCAGGAACTCACTTTCTTGGCGTGTTTGTGCATTTGGTCCTGGCACCACGTAGAGAAGCTGCAGCATAGCGAAGTTACCGTATGTTGTAGTTGAAGGCCTTCGGCTGAATGTTTAGAGCTAGCACCCGGTTAGAGACTTGAGTAGTGCGGATCTGCACCTGCGGGTGATTTCTGATGCTCAGAGCCGGCTGCGAGTTAGATACTTAAACAGTTCCCCCTTACTCCTTCGAGTGACATATCCTGATTGTACTCCTACGGGAAGTTTCCCCTGAATGCCAATGTGAAGTTTTATTACTTCGTGTAAGCCTTGGTTTGCAATTCAGGTTGTGTGTGTGTTATTGGATTGGGTCTCAGTCAAGTTCTCAGTCGGGCCTGCACTCCCTGCGTTTGGTGTGAGAGTCGAGAGTGACGTCCACGGCGTATGAAGAGGCTTCGTTCCGAAGTGGGAAGTCCAGTCCGGGTACCCTACGCTAGTTCCTGGCGGGAGGGCAGTAAAAGCTGGAGTGGGAGTCACTACCTGCAGAACCTCTGAGTGAACTTTTGAGACACTTTCCTCCTGAAATCCGAAGCGGAGGTCCTGACCGACCTCCGAGTTGTGCTTTTGCCAGTTTCAGGTGTGTGTGTGTGTGTGTTGAGTGACCACGCTGTACCGTGCATCCTCCGAGCATCCTCCGAGTCGAGATCCTCCTCCGAGTCGAGCACTGCAGTATTTCTGGGAGTGACAGTCGCCTAGAATTCAAACTCTACAAAAGTCTGTTAAATGTGACACTTTTACTCTATGTGTTGCCTCTGTCCCTGTGGGTTCGATCTTTTTACCACCATACTGCAGTTTTAGCCTTTGGTGGGTTATTACAACCTGACATTTTAAAATCTTCATAGTCTCCAAACAGATTTCTAATGAAAAAAACATAACCTAAAATTTTCAAATCTTCATAGTCTACAAACAGTTTTACAGAGATGTTAACCATAAGATAATAAATGCAATTTTCATAGAGATGATAATATCAGTTTTTTAAATCATGTACATTTCAATATCTTCGTATTTGTTTATGCGAAGAATTTATGCGAAAGATCTGTCTGTTTTTCAAATGAAACAACTGACATAAAAATGAACCATTTAGAAGAAATTTCAATATCAAGGTTTTTGTTCACATCCAAGTATCTGGTCTACAGATATTTTCGATATGAAAAGTCCGGAAATGACAGAGGCATAAACGTTTATTCAATTTGATCATTCAGAATATACTTTTGTACTCTCCTGATCTTGAATAAACATTTGGGACAGGAATGAGATTTTTTTAGTCTTCATCTCATAACACTCACTTAAAATTTTAACTAACGGACTTCAGATCATTGAAAAAATTTATTTTCTTGTAATGGATCATACTTGCAGTAAGTATAGTAATAAGAGATGCAATAGAACAGTTTATCTTGCGTAACTTACGATAAAACTCAATGTCTGAAAAATGTATTCTTCTACATATACATCACTAGTCAGGCTGATGTTATATCAACCTCATGATCTTTGAATATCTGGATCAATCAGATCCTTTTCTTTTGGGCGTCAGATCTGTTCGATCTCCAATAGAAGAAAATCAAACGTGAACGTATCAGCACAAGCCTATGGATACATGATGACATGGAGATTCAATTGAGAATAATCGTTAGGATAATGAAATGCCCCAGATGGCAGTATTAACGTAGTTGCCACATGGGGCGGTCGACTTCATCCCTCACTGGACTTTCTTCGGAGACTGGCTGCTGTCTTGGTAGAGAGAGACATGGATAACCCAAGACTGACACGCTATGTCTAGCGCAGATGAGGGGATTCGGGAGTGAACGAGGTCATGAGGTTAGGCCTGATGCGATTTTTGATGTTTGTACGTTATATGAAACCAGATTTTTGCATCGGTCCGAGCTAGTGCAACGCTGAAAGAAGCTAGAAAGGCGAACCGCATGAATGTCCTTCCTCTTGGCGCAGAGAGCATGCGCGACGACAGTTCACCAGGTGCATTTGTTTGTCAGCAGGAGAACTCCATCGCCCGTGGCAGTCAGTAGCGCAAGTGAACTTGCACTTTTCTGGAAATCTCGAGTATAAACCCCGGGGCTTGCGAAAGAGAGTCAACGGATTGCTCGACGATGAAACTGGCGCTTCCTGTCCTCTTGCATCGGACTGTCCACATTGTGTACTTGAGTTGAAAATGTTTTTAACGAAATTCAAGAATATATGTATATATATATATTCAAACGTTTTGGGCTTTATTTGAATAGTGATATGACGTGATTGAAAACTTGTTATTTCTGATTGATGTTTGACAAATTCAGCAGTCTCCCTTGTCATGCTATATCCACGATAATACACTGTCCAAACATTGTAATTAATATCAATAATCAATAAAACTGTATTTACTGCAGCACTGTTAATAGACGTAGCTATTTTCGTCGCTAGAAACAGATCCTGTTTTTTTGACTCAAGAGGTAGACCAGACCCATGGGGAGCTACGAGCCCGGCCAGTCGATGGAGTCTCTGTAAAAGCAAGACAATACTCCCGTCTAGCCGCTGGTCTTCATATCTGGTCCTTCGGCCCTGTGCGTGTTGGGAAAGAGTAAACGTTAGCACTGTTTCAATAATGATACTACAGTCATGACGCTCGTCTCAGCTCAATTTTTCAAAACTAACAAGCGACTATACTTCAGAAAAGCTCCGAGAACGAACTTGCGGAGTCTCGTAGAGACTGTACCGAACGAGGACTGCCATGTTCCAAGCTTTTTTTCTATTAAGAAATGCGACGTTCTTCTCTAGTCAATGGATCTAATCAGAGGATAGAAATCTAAATCTAATCAATAGAAATCTAATAGAATTTCTAGATGCTTTTCATTGATAAATATTTGATCTAATGTTTTAAAATCTATCTGGCTGTATTTAACGATATTGTAAACAAAGACAATAATATAAATTCGATTTGCATGATGACGGTAAACCTGAAAAATGTTTTACAGTACTGCGAGGTTAGTGAATCTTAGTATATATCAAATTGGTAGTATATGAATCAGTAAATAAAAAAGTCTTGAAGTATACTTGTGGAATATACATACTCTGTCTACATGTCTCAAACTGACATGAAATGAGAGGAATGAACACCTCATGGCAAAGACAAATTATTCATGATTTTCACTCTCAAACAGTAAATAAGCTCAAGCTTTCTCTCATCAATATTGTGTTATGAGATGGAGCAAGACATGTGTCTTATTGTTTAACCCTAACCCGTTAGATCAATCATTCCCAACTTGATCGACTCTCCCATTTCCTGCTCTCTGAACTAGTCCCCATTCCGCGTCTTCTGGTGCCGAGACCCCGCGGCTTGGATGCTCGAGAGCCGTATATATAGGGACCCGGGGGCCTCGAAGGAAGGAACATCGAGGTCACTCGAGTGGGTTTCACTGATCGGAAGAGGCGTTCACAGTCGTCGTCTCTCCAGGTGTGGACTCGATAAAGATAGAAGACTAGATTTGCAATAATGTGGTGAGTGCACAGGTGCTTCAGATTACGGTAGACCAGAAAGCCAGGCAGGAGAATCTTGTTCCCAGCATCTGACGAGACCACCTGCGAGTGTGACGGCGCTCAGGGCGATTCGAAATACGTGAGAGCAGTCAGCGCTTGAGCTGAGCTCTACCGAGCATTGCAGCTATGAGAGAACCGCAGCTGCTTGTGGCGGCTCTCGTGCTGCTAGCAGCGACATCTTCATTAGTTTACGCGAAGGTTGTCGAGTATGAGTGGGTGGTAGACTACGCCTGGGCAGCTCCCGACTGTGTCGAGAAGCAGGTCATTTCCATCAATGGGGAGTTTCCAGGTCCCAATATTCGGTCGGTGGCCGGCGACACTGTCAGGGTGCATGTCATCAATAGGATGCCTACCGAGGCCGTGGTCATTCACTGGCACGGCATGCTCCAGGTTAGGACGCGGATTTCTGTTGTTGCTAAAAATTTCACCTGTTCGGCTTCAGTTGGCAAGTTACTTCTCATCGCGGTTACTTACACCCATTTGCACTGCACTTGTTGACTGACTCTTCCACATGGCCGGTGGCCTTTGCAGACAGGAACGCCTTGGGAAGATGGTGCAGCTTACGTTTCCCAGTGTCCGATCGATCCTGAGGACGAGTATACTTATGACTTCGTCACAGAAAATGTTTGTTCATTCTCTACTCCTACACTATCAATTGAGATGAGAGTTCGCTGCGCTGAAGCTATCTTAGGAATCAGCTTGAGTAGACCCAATGCCAGCTTGGAATCGCTTGCTTCTCTGATTCAGGCGTCGATAGTCACCACACCAGACTGCCAACAAGCAAGTATAAGATTGTGGTACTTAAGATTTCAGCCCAGAGAAAATCGCCGTCGGAGCTCGAAGGAAGCGGGCTTACATTGTTTCCGCCTATGTTTGCAGGCCGGTACGTACTTCTGGCATGGACATTACGGTATGCAGCGAGCTGCTGGATTCTACGGACAGCTCATCGTCGATCCACCCGAGAACTTCACCGAGCCCTTCAAATACGACGGCGAGCACAGCATCGTACTGAATGACTGGTGGCACGCCAGTATGATTGACCAGCAGCTTGGACTTTTCAGCGTTCCCTTCCGATGGGTCCGAGAGCCTCAGGTTAGATCTCTTCTCGTGGCTGGCTTGACCGAGCACGCAAGTTCCTTGTCGACGCATGGAGGAGTGGCATTCAATGCTGACTAATGTCTGGTTTGGCCGTGCAGTCTCTTTTGATCGAAGGCCGTGGAAGATACAACTGCTCGTTGATGGCAGGTGGCAGGGCGTGCAACGCCACCAGAGAGTCGTGCAAGCTTCACGTAATGCCCGTGGAAGCTGGGAAGACATATCGCCTTCGAATAGCCAGCGTCGCATCCTTGGGCTCATTCAACTTCATTCTCGAGGTGAGTGTCGCTCTCTCCGATCTCCCCGCCCCAAATATAGGGACCCCTCCATAAATAAAAGTGTCTGCATCTTACGAAGGATCGAGGTAGTAAGTCTGAACTGAATCGAAACACGGCTGGTGGTGACAGGGGCACAATTTCACAGTGGTCGAGGCCGATGGGCACTACGTGGAGCCGGTGACGATGAGCGACATCGATGTCTACTCCGGAGAATCGTACTCCGTCCTCTTCACGGCAAACGCCGACTGCTCGAGAAATTACTGGGCCGGGTTCAACGTCCGCGGGCGCGATCCCAAGACACCAACCGGGCTCGCAGTGCTGCAGTACGTCAACACATCGGGCGAGCCTTCGACTTGCGCCCCGGTGAGCCCTCGGTGGAATGATTATGCCTACTCCGTGGCCAAAGCCAGGCAGTACCTCGCCAGGAAGGAGTTCATCGTCCCGCTTCCTCAACGCGGGCCCGATCGTCAGATCTTCCTGCTCAACACGCAGAACAGAGTGAATGGAAGGCTGAAATGGGCTTTGAACAACGTCAGTTTCGTGCCCACTGCCACTCCGGCGCTCGCAGCTCTCAAATACAACATCACCGTCGAGGCGCACGGCGGGCTTTCCTCGGCCACGCCTCCGGACTACTTCCAGGAAGGTTATGATATCATGAAGCCTCCTCCCTACCCCGAGACCGTCCAGGGGAGTGGAGTCTACGAATTGAAGGGCGACCAGGTGGTGGACATCATCTTGCAGAATGCCTGCTCTCTGACGGCCAAAGTCAGTGAGGTGCACCCGTGGCACTTGCACGGGCACGATTTCTGGATTTTGGGCTACGGAGACGGAGTGTTCAATGCGTCGAAGGATTACGCATCGCTGAATTACTACAACCCTCCGCTGAGAAACACTGCGCCTCTCTTCCCATTTGGATGGACCGTGCTGCGGTTCGTGACTGACAATCCTGGCGTGTGGCCATTCCACTGTCACATTGAATCTCATTTCCACATGGGAATGGGAGTGATCTTCGCCGAGAGCGTGGACAAGCTGCCCGAGGTGCCAACCGACACCATGGGGTGCGGGGCCATCAAGTTCTACCGATCCCCCTAATAGCCTGAGTCAGGGAAGTGACAGTGCATGTGTTCGTCTGGAACTCGTTAAGAGCTGTGACATTTGAGATGCGTTCGATTTCCTCCCTCACATTTTGTCAGAGAGCCTCGAGCTGCCAGTGCCCCGTCCTGCATTGTCTGTAGCGGAGCAGTTGGTACGTTCCAATCCATCGGTTCAGAAAGCGTGAGTAGTTTCGCAGGTACAAGGGAGCGAGTACATTAACCTCCACAAAAAATGAGGAAACTTTCTTTCTAATGAGTGAATGAGGTCATGAGGTTAGGCCTGATGCGATTTTTGATGTTTGTACGTTATATGAAACCAGATTTTTGCATCGGGTCCGAGTTACTGCAACGCTGAAAGAAGCTAGAAAGGCGAACCGCATGAATGTCCTTCCTTTTGGCGCAGAGAGCATGCGCGACGACAGTTCACCAGGTGCATTTGTTTGTGAGCAGGAGAACTCCATCGCCCGTGGCAGTCAGTAGCGCAAGTGAACTTGCACTTTTCTGGAAATCTCGAGTATAAACCCCGGGGCTTGCGAAAGAGAGTCAACGGATTGCTCGACGATGAAACTGGCGCTTCCTGTCCTCTTGCATCGGACTGTCCACATTGTGTACTTGAGTTGAAAATGTTTTTAACGAAATTCAAGAATATATGTATATATATATATATATATTCAAACGTTTTGGGCTTTATTTGAATAGTGATATGACGTGATTGAAAACTTGTTATCTCTGATTGATGTTTGACAAATTCAGCAGTCTCCCTTGTCATGCTAAACCCACGATAATACACTGTCCAAACATTGTAATTCATATCAATAATCAATAAAACTGTATCTACTGCAGCACTGTTAATAGACGTAGCCTATCTTCGTCGCTAGAAACAGATCCTGTTTTTTTGACTCAAGAGGTAGACCAGACCCATGGGGAGCTACGAGCCCGGCCAGTCGATGGAGTGTCTGTAAAAGCAAGACAATACTCCCGTCTAGCCGCTGGTCTTCATATCTGGTCCTTCGGCCCTGTGCGTGTTGCGAAAGAGTAAACGTTATCACTGTTTGAATAATGATGACAGTCATGACGCTTGTCTCAGCTCAATTTTTCAAAACTAACAAGCGACGATACTTCAGAAAAGCTCCGAGAACGAACTTGCGGAGTCTCGTAGAGACTGTACCGAAAGAGGACTGCCATGTTTCAAGCTTTTTTTCTATTACGAAATGCGACGTTCTTCTCTAGTCTGATTAGATCCATTGACTAATCAGAGGTATTGGAGACCTGACCGATAGGTCTCCAAAGACCTCTCGGTCTATCGGCATATAGGTCGTCTGTATTCCTGCTGAGCTCGAAAAACTTAGGGTCTTCATTACGTTGCCATTCAAACTATACTTCCAACACACAATCTGGCTTTGGGTATACTTTCAAAACATATGAATCCCTCATATCCAGTTATTCGTATCATTTCATTCACTAACATGAATTCATCTCCTACTAAGGATGATATATATGACTTCAAATCCAATGAAGTCTGAATTATTTTCTCTTCAACATCTGTCTTTTTCCTCTACATAGTAAAATATTATTGAATTGACATAAATTCAGACCTATATGTATGAGAGCATGCCCAGTAGAATATGACAATTACTCTAAATCTACATGATTCAGGATTATATATATGATGGACTAAGGTATCAACCTTTCGCTTGCACAATCTTTTATCGTTTTTAATGTTTGAAAGTCATCTCACCGGTTCGTAATACATAGCAATTGTCTGTCTGTAGGTGATATTCTTCTATTTTTCTGCATAAAATTTCTCCTGATTACGCAAGAGCACATCAGGGTCCATGCCGTTTTGCAAGATATGTTAAATTATTTTTTCTATAACATGATACTACATGTTTGAATTGAAGGTTTATGTTTCAACACAACATAGGCAGCAATGAGCAAAGATCACCACGATTTACACCACGTGTACTCTATGCTAGTTTACAACGTGATCACAACTTTGCATGCAAAACATGATGAGTATCATAACATATACCAAGAGTATAATTCTACTTGTCAGCCTCCGACGAATGCTGTCACACCTTTGATTCTTCAGGATCGGTGGAGTGTCTGTAAAAGGATTTTGATTGTCCCATCTCTGAGTCTCGTGGAAGTGAGTTTCAGGATAGATACAGTGTATAATGTCTTATTATTCATCGAGGGCGCCTTGAAACAAAATTAAATAAATTTTCGTTGCCATTAATTGACCAGGGTACATGGAAACATGAAAAGGTTTGACGCAGAAACCAACTGGCACTTTACATCAGTTTCAAGAAATTCAAATGGGAAACATCAAATATTTCATCTTCAATAGTAGCGCCGTTTATTTTTCGACACATACGATATTTTTTGTATATATCGATGAAGAGAAAGAGATAAAGTCTTCCTTTAGTTAAAAAGATATGTAATTAGTCTGGAATTGTAGATGTAATGATCATAGATGAGATGATTGCTTCGAGATCACTTCCATAATAATGGAATTCCAAGTGTGAAGTTGGATTCTTATGGTTTACGAGTAAAGCTCTTTTCATCTGCCACTGCCACTTTGTCGTTATAACCACTCACCCATCGAATTTAGGATAAGAGAAAGCAGTCCTTGCAGATAAATAGTAAATAAATAGTCCTCAATTAAAATGACTCTCCGAAGTTGGTCCTAGTCCTGAGTCGTGAGAGAATCATTGACATGCTGTATATGCATGTGCTATACTGTGGTATGCTACTGTATGCTGTATACTAGTGCTATACTGCTATTCATAGACGTAGAACATCTGCGTCGCTAGAACCAGCTCCTGTTCTTTGACTCAAGAGCCAGACCAGACCCCTTGGGGATCTACGAGCCCGGCTGGTCGCTGGAGTGTCTGTGAAAGCAAGACAATTCTCTACATTTTTGGTTCTTCGGCCCTGTGGGTTTTGCGAAAGACTATACGATTAACACCGTTTCAGTGATGATACTACAGTCACGACGCTTTTCTCGGCCCAATTTTTCAACACCTACAAGTGACGATATCTCAGATTGAAAAGCTCCGAGAATGGACTTCCCGAGTCTGGTAGAGACTCGGGAAGTTCAAAGGCAACGAAAGAGGACTGGCATTGATCAAGCTTTTTGCTGTGACGAAATGCGACCTTCTTCTCTAGTCAATGGATCTAATCTGAGGTATTGGATATCTCGACCGAAATGTCTCTGCGCTGGTAGTCTGTATTCTTGCTGAGCTTAAAAAACTTAGGGTCTTCGTTACGTTGCCCTTCATGCTTAGAATCTTAGACGGGTCCAAAAGCCCAAAAGCTCGCGAGTACATTTTATTTTAGTCAATGAACACATTAACTCTTTGTTGACATAACATCTACTTGCTTTAGAAACAGCGAAAGCTGGGCCTGGGAGCAGCATCTATAAATGCCAGACTTGAATCCCATCATTCCAACCTCCAATCCCACCGTAACATGGATGTCAAGATGGCGCCGGCTCATTTCATTATACTCCTAGCATGTTTTGTCGTTGGCTCCTTTGCCAAGGTTTCCATCCAAGAGAACTGGCGGTCAGTAGCCTCCAGTTCTCTCAAGCGTCTTTCCTATGAGCGTATTCTTGCAGCAGATTTCAAAGAAAGGGAACGAGATCATCCAGACCATCGAGAACTACAGTTGTCTGCGTCAAAGATTCGTCAAATTCGAGAGGAATTTTTGCATCATCATGATCATAAAACCGACTCCATGTCCCATGGTTTCTCACACGCAGTCTCATTGCTGGAAGTTAGATTTGGGTAAGTGAAAGACGCTGGCTCCACTTTACGATTGATATTTTCCAGATTGTGTCCAAAGTTACCAGAATGAGGAAATGAAACCTCTTATTGCCAAATCATGAATTCTGCTCCAGATTGAGTTATGCTGTTAAGTTCCTTTTTCAGGGAAGCTGATGCTCTTCTCGCGTTCAAGGACGGGATTGGGAACTACTCCGAGGGTTCCTTGGATGAATGGACTCCTGACAAGCGATCAGAGTATTGTTCGTGGACCGGAGTCACTTGCAATAGTCAGCTTCGTGTTACTGCTCTTCACTTGTCTTCGCTGGATTTGACTGGCTCGTTGGGCCCTTCGTTGAGCAATCTTTCGTACCTGGAAGAGCTCCATCTGGAACAAAACTTTCTGCAAAGCGAGATTCCTCCGGAGTTGGGACGGCTCTCGAGGTTACGAATCCTGGACCTGGAAGACAATTGGCTCTACGGAAACATTCCTAAAGAGCTGGGAAATCTGACAAGCCTGCAGGTACTGAACCTTGGCTCTCAGGGATGGTGGTTCAATGGAACGATTCCAGAAGAGCTCGGGCAGCTCTCGGAGCTACGGTTTCTAAATCTCGGACCTGTGAATAACTCAGATTGGGAGAAAGTGTATAGCTATCAATGGACTCATGGATGGGCCAATAAACTCAGAGGCACAATTCCCAGGTCCCTAGGAAACTGCACAAAGCTGCGGTACTTGGATTTCTATGGCAACGGCCATCTTACAGGTGTGATACCAGAGGAGATTGGAAAGCTTATACATCTGGAGTATCTCAGTTTTGAGTCGAACAAACTCACAGGAGCTGTACCACATCAACTAGGGAATTTGACCATGTGCGAATTCCTTAATTTTGGAGACAACGCACTGCAAGGTCATCTACCCGAGGGACTTGCAAATCTGTCTCGGCTCGTCTTCCTCGATGTGGGGAACAACTTTTTCACCGGAAACCTGGTCCATGTCAGTTCCACATCATGGTCTCAATTATCACAGCTCGTTGCACGAAACAATTCATTTAGTGGAAGATTTCCTGAGCTCCTACTCTCTTGTCGCAATTTGGTGACGTTGGATCTGAGCATGAACAACTTCAGTGGTAATCTGCCTACGGATCTTGGGAGGCTGTCAAGTGCGAAGTCCATCGAATTGTCCGACAATTATTTCGGAGGAGAGCTTCCTGAATCTTTAAGAAACATCAGCTTGCTCACCTTTCTGCAACTCTCCAACAACAAGCTAACTGGTCCTTTGGATGCGCTGAGTAATTCAACACTCCTGTCCGTTCTGCTCCTGCGAAGGGGGAATTCATTCACGGGAAGTCTGACGGATGAGATGGTGAGGTCCTGGCCAAGAATGGAGGAACTGAATCTCGGCTGGAATGCTCTGATAGGAAAGATCCCGAGAGCCATAGGTAATATGACCCAACTCCAATGGTTGTGGTTAGATGGAAACAAGTTAGATGGAGTCATTCCTGAAGAGGTTGGAGACCTGAAAAAGTTATTATTCGTGAGTTTGTACTACAATGAACTCATAGGAAAGATTCCCGCTAGTTTGGGGAAACTGCAGAAAGCCATACTTATCGAATTGGGATCTAACAATCTAACAGGCTGCATACCCCGCCAGTTCAGCAACCTCACCAACATGGGGTTCTTGGGACTGAGTATGAACCATCTGACGGGTGAGATTCCGCCAGATTTGGGTAAGCTACAGACCTTGTTCGACCTCTCCCTCGAAAATAACAATCTCACTGGCAGCATTCCTGTTACCTTATACAACTGCAGTAATCTGAGAAATGTCAAACTAAGTCACAACTCTATGACTGGACAGTTGACGCACATAAATTTCTCTAGACTTGAATCTATGGAAATGTTGTTCGTGAATGAGAATCAG